AAATATCAGGGATTTTCAATTACTGCAGCAATTGACAATTTAAATACGTACTTTTCATTGAATCTGTGATTATTATTTTTTTTAAGTCAGAGCATAGAAAATTCTCCAAAGGGCCAAATAAGTATGTAAAGTTCATTCATGACCATTCAAAGTTACGGCATTGGGGGAAAAAAGGGACTTATGACCATTTTCCACACTTACAACGGTTTGCAGCATCCCCATGGTCACGTGATCAAAATTCAGATGCTTGGCAAAGGACTCATACTTACGACGGTTTTCAGGGTTCCAGAGTCACATGATCTCCTTTTGCGACCTATCAAGGAAAGTCAATGGGGAAGCCCAGATTCACTTAACAAACAAACCCAACAAGGGCAGTGATTCACTTAATGACTTAAGGGCTTAAAATGGGGCCAAACTCATTTAATGTCTCACTTAAGCAATAGAAACTTTGGATTCCATTGAGGTTCGTAAGTTGAGGACTACCTGCAGCGAGTGAGAAATACCGAAGTTTCAGTTTACTTTTTCCAGTTTGAGGTCTCAGCTTAAGGTCAAAAAGCGTGGATCTCAAGGGCAGGAGCTCATTTGGTCTGTGGGAAAAACTTATTCAGTTGCTTTGTATTTTTAGATGAATATAAAAATATATTTGCGGGTACATGAACTTTAAAAAAAAAAAAAGCCTGAGAAACAGAGTTGATTATTTCCTTTTAAAAGTTCTTTCTTTCTCTTTTTTCTTTGCTGGGAACTCAGATTTGTAGGGAGAAGTTTTAGTCCAGAGCCCAAAATACAGTATTCCCGTTGATGGGGTTGTTGTAATCGGGCCTCTCGTTGCAACTCCAGTTGTTTCCTGACCACCAGGGTTAGAAAACTGTTTCGTTGTGGTTGTGGTTCACGGAGAGAAATACATTGCAACTTTTGTTTTTTTCCCCCTGCGAATCCCTTTTGTTTTCCCATAAAAGCACCCTAGACCATAAGATGCCTGGACTTGCCAGCTCAGCTTGTGTGTGTGTGTGAAGTTGGGCTGCTTTTGATTTCAACAACGCTGATCACACACACACACGCGCACACACAGACACACACACCCCTCTCCCCGTATGTCCTGACTAAGCATGGTCTGTAGGCATTTGCAATCTGGAAATTGCCTGGTGGGAAACAGCTGGCAGAAGGGAAGCTGGTTGCCACATCCCTGAGCACCGTGGAGACAGGTTATCACCTACAAACATTGCAGGACGTTTTCCCCCCGCACTGCAAACATTTCACTGCCATAGTAACTGGCCTTTGCCCTCCCTCCAGGGCCAGCTGGGTCATTTCAGAATGTGAAATAATGGGCCCAGCACCAGCTGTTCCAAGCTTGCTTTGCTTCTCCTCCCTCCAGCTCTGTTTCCTTTCCACCTGGCTGTTCTGGTCTCCCCCCTGCCCCCTTCCTTCTTCTCCATGCAGAATGCTTTCCTCTCCAGCTGTTCCAGCAGCTGCCGTCTCATCCTCCACCTTCTCCCCTCTCTTGTCCAACTTTCCTTCAAAAAAATACTTTGCAATCGGGAAGATAAACCTTTATAGAACTAGCAATAGTGCTTATATACCGCTTCACGGTACTTTACAGGCAGAGGTGGTATTCAGCCGGTTCTAGAGAACTGGTAGCGGAAATTTTGAGTAGTTTGGAGAACCGGCAAATCCCACCTCTGACTGACCCCACCCCCATCTCTTCTCTGCCTCCCAAGTCCAAGCTGATCGGCTGGGTCTCCTTTGGTTGCCCTGCACAGGAGAACGGAGCTGCAAAGCAGGCTAATGGGGTGGGGAGGGAATGGGGAATTTGCGGTATCCTTCCCCCAGGAGTGGGAGGGAATGCAGATTTTTCAGTATATCCTTCCCCTGGAGTGGAGTGGGAATGGAGATTTTACAATATCCTTCCCCTGCCACGCCCACCAAGCCCACCAAGCCATGCCCACAGAACCAGTAGTAAAAAATTTTGAATCCCACCACTACTGTTTACAACCCTCTCTAAGCAGTTTACAGAGTCATCCTATTGCCCCCAACTATCTGGGTCCTCATTTTACCCACCTCAGAAGGACAGAAGGCCGAGTCAACCTTGAGCCTGGTGGGATTCAAACTGCCAAATTGTAGTAACAATTGGCAGTCAGCAGAAGTAGCCTGCAGTACCGCACCCTAACCACTGCGCCACCATGGCTTATTTTGGAATGTTGCTCCTTTGCATATTCCCATTTTTAAAATCCCCAACGCTCCCCCTTCTTCTGACTTTCCTTTTGCTGATTTATTTTTTTTGATGTTTGGATTGCTGCTGTTGACAGCTGCCGATGGGACTTGGCAAAGCTCCTGTGTTGAAACAGAAGAACCAACCCTAACCCCATGGTGTGTTTTCTTGTCCTGACAGTGCCGTGATTTGGGGAGAGAGGTTATCTGTTGAATTTGGGGTGGCTGCTTCAGCTGAGAAGAGATGGTAAAGGCCCAGAGACTTACCAAGACAGAAAAGTCATAATCGTAGGGTACTGCAATCCTCGATTTGCAGATGTAATTGAGCCTGGAATTACTATCGTCATTGTGGTCATAAATCAAGATATTATGTGAAAATCCTGACTGGATTTTTCAACATTTTTTTGTGTTTTTGTTCACCAAACAAATCAATTTTCCCCAATGGATATTTTTTTTTTTTGCTAGAAACTGGAATTAAATGCCAGAAACATTGTAAATTATAATCATGTGGCAGTGGGACACTTCAAATAAGCTGTAAACTTAAACTGGTTGCCAAATGCCAATGTGTGATCATATGACTGTGGGAGACAAGGGAGTGTTTGTGGTTATCATACATCGGAAACAGATCATAGATAGCTCTCAGAGGGACATTAGCACTTAGCAATCGCACGTAGACTTATATACCCCTTTACAGTGCTCTCTAAGAGGTTTACAGAGTCAGCCTATGGCCCCAAACAATCTGGGTCCTCGTTTTACCCACCTTCAGAAAGATGGAAGGCTGAGTCAACCTTGAGCCTGGTGGGATTCGATCTGCCAAAGTGCAAATAGCCGGCAATCAGCAGAAGTAGCCTGCAGTACTGCACTCTGACCACTGCAGCATCGCAGCTCATTAAGCGAGTGGTTGCAAGTCAAGGATTACCTTATTGATTGCAGTCGTTGGGAATGTGCAAGAAAAGAGTTGCTTTGCATAAGTTTGCATTCCTAGTGGCTAGTACAGGTAGTCCTCAACTTATGACCACAATTGAGCTCAATATTTCTGTTGCTAAGTGAAACATTTGTTAAGTGAATTTTGCCTCATTTGACGATCTTTCTTGGAACAGTTAGTAAGTGAACCACTGCACTGGTTATGTTAGCAAAAGGGTTGTTAAGTGGACCTGGCCTCGCCATTGAATTTGCTGGTCAGAACTCTGGACACTGCAACCATCATAAATGTGAGTCAGTGGAGAAGTATCTGAATTTTGATCACATGACCCTGGGGAGGCCGCAATGGTCGTAAGAGTGAAGAACAGTCATAAGTCACCTTTTCCAGTGACGTTGTAACTTTGAACGGACACTAAATGAAGTGTTGTAAGTCGAGGAACTACCTGTACAGTCTTAGTGCTTGAGGCATCAAGCTAGAAAACAGGACAGTCCAAGGCCTAGAAATATTCAACCTGGAAATAAGGAGGAATTTCCCGACAGTGAGAACAATCAACCCATGGAACAGAAGTTGCCTTCGGAAGTTGTGGGAGCTTCATCCCTGGAAGCTTCCAAGAAGAGACTGGACTGCCATCTGTCAGAAATGGCGTAGGGTCTCCTGCTTGGGAGGGGGTTGGACTAGATGACCTACAAGGTCCCTTCCAACTCTGTTAATGTATTGAGGATCCTGCCTTAGCCATGAAAGCCACCTGGGTGACCTTGGGCCGGTCCCTCTCTCTCAGTCCAAGCTACCTCACAGGGTTGTTTTGGAGGAAAATATGGCAGGGAAGGTCTTGGATATGTTATTATTTGTAAAAACAATAAAGGCGGGATAGCAATAAATAAGAAAAAGGAGGGGGCTAAATGAAGAGTGGAAGTGCAGGAATATTGGCGGGAGAATTAGGGGTTGAAAGGAAAGGTTTCTGACTTGCTTTTTAGAATGGGAGTGTTGTGGCCTGCCAGTGGCCAGCAGAGTTGACAGCAGACTTTGTCAGTGAGGTGGTTGGGGAGGAATATGGGCCAGTCCTGGAGTCTGGCTCTGATGAGTGCTCTGCATCGGAGGCAGAGATGGGGCCAGGACCATCAGACAGTTTATCAGCTGCCTTTGGACATCAGTGAGGCAGAAGAACAGCTGGAGCCTGTTCCCAGTATGCGTATGCACAGAGCTGCCAGAAGAAGGGAACAGCTAAGGAACAAGGGGCAACTTGGGAATAAAGCCACAGGTGGACAGTGAATGGCCCCTCCCAGAGGGAATAAAAGAGGAGCAAAAGGGGAGTGGGGTTTTGCAGGAGACAATTAGTTCATTTGGGTGAAGATCTGTTCCTGCATTTTTGCCAATTATTGACTGCTACAGTGTGGCCTCTGAAAGATATCAGCCTGGCAACTCTCCAAGCCTGATAAAGGTCTGTAATTGTGGAATATCTTGAAAGACTATTAGCCGGGACTTTGCTGGAGAGGAATTCACTGTAAACTCAATAAAAGGGGTTTATCAGGACGAGGAGTCAACTTCTTGCTGTTGGAGAAGCCTAGGGTGCTTCATGTGACATACACTTTGTCCCCTTATTGTAGGCACGGATGAGATCTCCCAGATGTCTTAGCCAAATACAGTCAGATGGGAATTGTAGTTCAGCAACATCTGGCATTTCCATCCAGCCATAAGGACAGAGACAATTTGCTATTTCCAAAGTGGGAACTCCCCATTTCCTAGAAAGCAACCAAAAGCACAGACTATATGGATTGAATGTTTCACAGTTGGGTTACATGCTCCAACTCCACGGCTTTGTTCCATCCAGGAACCTGACTGTCCTTTTTGTATTTTATCTCCTCTCATCTTGTAGACATGTGGCTCCTCCTTCCTCTTTGCGGGATCTTCATAGCAAACTCAGCAGCAGGTAAGTCTGGTCTTGGAGGACTTACGACAGAAACTAAGAACGCTGCCTTTCAGAAACACACATATACACACAAGCAAACCCATCCCACTGTTGCGGTGGTGCAGTGGTTAGAATGAGGTACTGCAGGCTACTTCTGCTGCCTGCCGGCTGCCTGCAATTTGGCAGTTCAATTCTCACCGGGTTCAAGGTTGACTCAGGCTTCCATCCTTCCAAGGTTGGTAAAATGAGGACCCAGATTGTTGGGAGGAAATAAGCTGACTCTGTAAACTGCTTGGAGAGGGCTTTAAAGCACTGAAGTGGTATATAAGTCTAAATGCTATTGCTATCCTGCCTAGCACAAAAACACTTGAGACATAAAGATGCCATAATCCGAGTCCTGGATTGGCTGGGTTTTTCTAAACCCACCTTCTTTGTACAACTTTATATGGATTGTCCTCGGTTTACAACAGTTCACTTAGTGACAGCTCAAAATTACAATGGCACTGAAAAAAGTGACATGACTATTTTTCTTACTGTTGACCATTGCAGCATCCGCATGGTCATGTGATTTACATTCGGCTTCTTGACAACCGACTCACATTTATGACGGTTTGCAATGTCCAGGGGAGCATGGGATCCCCTTTTTGTGACCTTCTGACCAGGAAAGTCAATGGGGAAGCCAGGCTCACTTAACAACCGTGTGTCGGGGCTCCAACAAATCCTGATTTAACCACTGCTGATTTAATCACAACTGATTTAACAACTGCAGTGATTCACTTAACAGCTATGGCAAGGAAGGTCCTAAAGTGGGCCAAAACTCACTTAATAAATGTCTCTCTTTAGCAACATAAATTTTGAGCTCAAATGTAGTTGTAAGATGAGAACTAGCTGTACTTTCTGAAACTTAAGATACAAAGGATGTCCTTTACCAAAACTTCTTAGCAATTCCCCGTTCCAAGGGATGCATATTATATTTTGAAAGTTAGTTCTAGTCAATACCCATTGCCTGTCCTGCTGTGCTTTTAAAGTGTTGGGTGTCTACTTCTCCGCCCCAGGGCAACTCAAGGTGACACAAAAACGACGGAATTGTGCCTTGTGACACCGTGAGACAAACTCTGACCTTTTGAACTCGAGTCCAGACATTGGAGGCAGATATGGAAGCTCCATGGCGTGTGTTGCAAAGCATAGGGATTCCCCAGCCACCCATGGACTCTTGGACACCTTATTTGTAGATAACCTGTCTGCCTGAGGTTTTGAGAATTGAAATTCAAAAGCTGTTGTAGAATATTGATCTGATCTTTAAGGGAGGGCAGGATATATATTTTTTTCCCCTATGAATCAATGTAACTTTATATCCTGAGAAATCTCACCTACCTTTGGGGTTAGGATTATTTATTACTTGTATAATAGTAATGATGGTGAAAGAGTTGGTGACATTAAAAGTGAGTTTTTGACTCCCCACTGAGTCATGATGGTTGTAATTTTGAAAGTTCAGTTTCATTCCCATGCAAAGAATAACAAAGTGTATAAAATGCACAGACTGAATGACTAGGATTACACCTCATGCTAAACCATGGTTTTTAAGATGATAATTATGATACATTACACAGCTGTAGTTCACAGCATGTCCAAGTCAGTGTATTCACCTTTGTCAATTTTTAGATATATAGACTTCAAATCCCAGGATGCCCTGCTAATGGGCTTGTTGCTAAGAATTCTGGGAACTGAGAAGCATACATTTAGAACCAATGGAAAAAAATAATATCTGTAGCTCAAGGTTGAACCGTGGAGCCCTTGGTGCTCTCTGAGTTTGGTTGTTTGCTTCCAGATGTTTCATTACCCATTAAGGTAACATCTTCAGTTTAAAAGATGACAAAATTGGGAAATCCAGTGTTAATCCAATTGAACTCTTACGAATTAGACCAAGGGTCTTCAAACTTGGCAAGTTTAAGACTTGTGGACTTCAACTCCCAGAATTCCTGAGCTAACATGACTGGAGGAGGAATTCTGGGAGTTGAAGTCCACAAGTCTTAAAGTTGTCAAGTTTGAAGACCCCTGGATTAGATCAATGAGTTAAATCCAGTCATTGAGCCAAAGTTGTACATTAAAATGATGCTGTGAGTTAAAACCAATTTATCCAGAATTAGTTGCATCTCAGCTATCATAAAAGGGGTTGAACGGAGCTACATTTCAACCAAGTAGGCATGAGATCTTGTTTAAAGTATTTATTTATTTACAGCGGCTGACTTCAGTACTGCTTTTGACTTCTCTTAACTAGAACAGAGGGGGAAGAACTCCATGTGTTCACCAGCCTTCTCTATTCTTCAGTGGCGAGACATTCGTTTCTGAGGAATAAGTCAGTGGAACATATGAAAAGGCAACGTACATGAAAGTGGTACCAGTTCTTCAGCTTTGAAACGGTTGAAAAGTAAAATATCTTAAGAACAGTGAACCGTTGTAAAATAACAAAATAGCCCACAGTGCGAGGGGAGAAAAATAGCAACAGCACTTAGACTTATATACTGCTTCACACAGTGGTGGGATTCCAATTCTTTTACTACCGGTTCTGTGGGTGTGGCTTGGTGGGCGTGGCATGTCTTGGTGGGCATGGCAGGGGAACGAGACTGCAAAATCCCCATTCCCTCCCCGCCCCACTAACCTGCTTTTCAGCTCCATTCTCCTTTGCAGGGCAACAAAAGAAGACTCAGCTGGGACTCGGGAGGCGGAGAAGTGATGGGGGCGGGGCCAGTCAGAGGTGGCATTTGCCGGTTCTCCGAACTACTCAAAATTTCCGCAACCAGTTCTCCAGAACTGGTCAGAACCTGCTGAATACCACCTCTGGCTTCAAAGTGTTTTTACAGCCCTCTCTAAGTGTTTCATAGAATCAGTTTATTGCCCTCAACAATCTGGGTCCTCATTTTACTGACCTTGGAAGGATGGAAGGCTGAGTCAATCATGAGCCAGTCAGAATTGAACTGCCAAACTGCTGGCAGTTGGCAGTCAGCAGAAATAGCCTGTATTCTAACCACTGTGCCACTGTGGCTCATATATATATATATCTGAAACATATGGGCAAGATGAAGCTTTTAAAAATAAATAGGGAATGAATACAGATAATCCTGAGACTTAGGACCACAATTGCACGGATAGATGTCCCGGTTTAAATGCTGACTTCTATGCAACGATTTAAAACAGTGTGTCCCAACCCTTGGCAACTTTAAGTTAAGTGGACTTCAATTCCCAGAATTCCCCAGCCACCTAGGCTGGCTGGGGAACACTGGGAGTTGTAGTCCACATAACTTAAAGTTGCCAAGGGTTGGGACACACTGATTTAAGAGGTGAGGCATGCAAGGTCAACTCTGCTAGACTGGCAATAGGAGAAAATGAAGAACATAATAAACGGGTGAGTTTGTGTAGAAAAGTTTTAGCTCTTATTATATTTGCATATGGTGGAAGCCTTTGAGATTAAACATACGTCCTGCTGGGTTTCAAAGGAGCTAAAACAAATAATCTGTTTGCTCTTTTTTCCCCTTCCAATCACGATTAGAAAAACAGATAAGATAATCTTTATTGTCATTTTTTTTTAACTTACCTTATCTGTTTTTCTAATTTTGATGACAGCTCCCTCTGCTAAACTGGTTGGGGAGCACAGTTAAGGCTGTCTTTGGGTCTTTCATAATTCATCTCCTTGTTCATCTTTCAGAGTCCCCCCAGGATCAACCTCATGACCCCTTCAATTATGGTAAGTTAATCATTCCTGAAAGCTTGTCTGGGGCCTTGGGAGCCAATGCAAATTGCTACAACCGGCCGAGTTAGGAAACAAAGCACAGGAAAAAGGGAAACAAAAAACCTCAGAAGGATTCCTTTGTTTTTATTTAATATGGAAAGAGGCGGATGATTCTGAGGATCACAATAATGCTTTAGAGAAGGATCCCTTTTCTTTGGACTTTCTTTGAAAAAACACTCACCTGACCTCTACTTAAAAGCTAGTATTTGATCTCTGGATGCAGATGGAATTGTGTTCCTTTCCTCTACTTCCTTTCTTGCGTTACGAAGTTAATAGGACAACAACACAGAAGAAGAGAAGTGGGGAAAGATGTCCACAATAATTTGCTGATTTAGGAACTGAAGTAGAACACCTCTGGAATACACTTATATTTTCAAATTTATCCCGCCTTGAGTCTCCTTTCATGCCTAAGGCGGGACTAGAATTCCCAATCTCTTGGTTTCTACGCTAGCACCTTAACCACTGCACCATGCTGGCTCTCCCTTTGCAGACAATCCCAACATAATAAAACCATGGTAACACATGTGCTTGACTTTGTCCCCGTGGAGCTGTCCTCCTCTTGGCCTCGTCCATGAGGAAGGTGGCTTATGGCATCCTTGTTTGGTTAGGGGGTGAACCGCTAAGTGGAACGCCCCTCCTAAGCATAACAATGCATTACGAGTCTGTCAATGATATCCATTTTGCTCTCCAAATTCATGGAGTCCTAACCCTAACCGTAAGGCTAAGGGATTGGGCAAGAGCCCATAAAATAGGAAGGGGAGGGATCAGTGATGGAGATGGCTCAGGAATGGATGGACCACATTTCACCCCTCCCGTGGGTTTTCGGCCTATAGAAATAGGGTTCTTTGTTCTAATTCCAGGCTATGTTCTATTCCTCGCATGACAAACTCATTTTTTTCCCCTCACACCAGATTACGATTCGCTGAGAATTGGAGGCTTGGTGTTTGCCGTTGTCCTGTTTCTGATGGGCATCCTCATTATTCTTAGTGAGTAGCTACCATCCGGTGGTTGCCCAGGAAAGGGGGAGGCTTAATGGGTTGGGATCAGAATACCTGTTGAACAATACAGTGTGTGTTCATACATCAAGGAAAGCACTGGTGTGGTTTGGTTGAGTCTGACTTCTCTTTTAGGTCTGAACCAGGGGTGGGATTTTACCAGTTTGCACCTATTCGCGAGAACCGGTTGTTAACATTCTAAGCAGTTTGGAGAACCGGTTGTTAGAAGAAATTACTGGCCTCATCCTGTAAGGAAGGCAGGAAGGAAACATTCTGGTGTTGCTTACAGAAACTGCCTCTCCGTTAACCCTAATTACATTCTTGGCAGGACTAGACTTCCTGTCTCTGGAACTTCTCTGGAGTTTTTTCCCCCTCCTTTGCTGGTACTTTGCTCGTGTGGAGTGACCAGTCAAAGTTACAATGGCATTGAAAAATGTGACTTATGACCGTTTTTCACACTTACGACTGTTGCAACATCCTCACAGTCATGAGAGGCCAGGCAAGGAGATGCGTGCCTCGATGTGAGTGATATTGAGTTGGCCATGCCCAGCCAATAACATGCCCACCAAGCCACACCCACCACCTAAGCCATGCCCACAGAACCGGCTGTTAAAAAATTTGAATCCCACCCCTGGTCTGAACCCAACAATCACACTGTGGTATCCAAGTCTTATGCCTGTAAAATAAAATGTGTCATAGATCAGGGGTCTTCAACCTTGGCAACTTTAAGACTTGTGGACTTCAACTCCCAGAATTCCTCAGCGCTCCAACACTGGAGTTTTTTAAGGCAGGGGTCCCCAACCACCGGGCCGTGGACCGGTACCGGTCCGTGGAACATTTTCTACCGGGCCGCCAGTTTGCTGGGCGCCGCCATCTTGATTTGATGAGAAAGTGCTTCCGGTGAGCTTTTCCGGTTGGAAAGCGGCGTTTGGGTCCTGAAGGAATCCTCGCGCCTTAGTTTCATCAAAGTGGGGGGCGGCTTCGAACAAAACTAAGGCGCGAGGATTCTTTTAGCACCCAAGGCAAGGCGAGCCAAGCGACCGTCCCGAAGCCCATCGACAAAGGTACAAAGGAGGAGTTGAAGGTGGCGGGAAGAAGCGGGGGACGACTGGCTGGACGGTCGCTCGGCTTGCCTTGCCATGCGTGCTGATGCCGGTACCGGGCCGCGGATCATTTTGTGATGCCAGTACCGGGCTGTGGCACAAAAAAGGTTGGGGGCCACTGTTTTAAGGAATGGGACAGCCATTTGTCCAGAATGGTATAGAATGTCCTTCTTGAGCAGAGGATTGGACTAAAAGACCTCCAAGGTCCTTTCCAATATCTGTCATTCTATTAAATAGTGCTTCTTACCAAAATAACCCCCCCATCCCTGCTCAGATTCTTTTGGGATCCTTACTCAACTCTTCTTTCTCTCTTCCTCTCCTAGGCCGGCACTGTCGTTGCAAGTTCAACCAGCAGCAAAGGTAAAAATCCACCCATAAAGTTTCTTTGGAGGGGGTGTGGAACTTATCAGAATTGTTTCAAATGGACGAAGGACAGTATGAAAAAAAGAGAGGGGGGGGAGCCAAATAGCGTGACGTAGTTTTGCAATGTTTTGTGATGTGGTTCAGATATCTTAATTATTTGGAGACTGTTGAAATGCCCCTGCTTCGTCTTTATTCTCTTTTATTTCCGTTTTCTTTCATCCCCCTGCTGGGGAAGAATCTGGCCAGCACAATGATTCATTCTCTGAATTAGTACATCTGCTGATAATTGCTTTCTTTCTGCGATGCTGGGATTGGAAGCAGGGAGAGAAAGGGGCATTAGAAGGTTAACTACTTGTATGCATGATGTCGATAATTACCCAACAAACGAGCTTTTAATTTTGACCCTTGTAGAAATATTCAGATGATACACCATAAAAATGGAGATTTGGAAGCAGCGGGGTGCTAGCAGCAAATAAGAGTTGTGAAAAGTGGGAAGAAAAGAGTATCACAGATTGTTTAAAGAGAAGGACTGATTCATCAGTTCTCTAGCTAACTTTGGTCATCATATAAGCAACTGAATCTACTGCAGCCTTTTCAGGTCTGGCATCTTTCAGAGGTAACTGCGCTATAATTGCAGATACTTCGGAGGTTTCCAGGTTGGGAAAAGCTTGTAAGTTATCCAGGATGGGCTACAATTATGTCCAGATATCTCTGTCAACCCAGAAATGATACAAATGCTGTCATTTGCACAGTGAAATTATAATGCAGAGACATTATTTTCCCCTATTGTTCCTCCCACACAGATTCATTCATTCATTCATTTGTTACATTGATAAGCTACCCATCTCACTGTGAAAAGTGACCCTGGACAGTTTAATGTACAATTAAGATGCTGTAGAAAGGCTGCTGGAAAGGAACTATGGGGGCGCAGTGGTTAGAATGCAGTATTGCAGGCTGACTCTGCCCACTGCCAGGAGTTCGATCCTGACCAGCTCCCAGTTGACTCAATCTTCCTTCCGAGGTGGGTAAAATGAGGACCCAGATTGTTGGGGGCAAATAGGCTGATTCTGTAAACCACTTAGAAAAGGTTGTGTTCTTGTTGGTGGTTGCGAAGTTGTTGAAATTACAACGCCACTGAAAAAAGTGACTTATGGCCAGGGGTGGGATTCAAATTTTTGAACAACCGTTTCTGTGAGTGTGGCTTAGTTGGTGGGCATGGCTTGGTGGTCATGTGACTGGGTGGACGTGGCTTGGTGGTCATGTTATTGGCTGGGCGTGGCCAACTCAGTATCACTCACATCGAGGCATGCATCTCCTTGCCTGGCCTCTCATGACTGTGAGGATGTTGCAACAGTCGTAAGTGTGAAAAACGGTCATAAGTCACTTTTTTCAGTGCCGCTGTAACTTTGAATGGTCACTCCACACAAGCAAAGTATCAGCAAAAGAGGGGGAAAAGAAATTTCCCTTTCCATTTGGAATGCTCACCTTGGCACTGAGATAATTAGTACGAAGGGAATTAATGTTTGTTCCTCCATTCATTGGAGAAGGAAGGAAGTCTGAACACAGTGGGGAATATACATTGCAGCCCCAAGAGTTCTATTCTATGCAAAAGCCCGGTATATTCCCCATTGTGTGCTGGCTTACTCTCTTGTAATCCCTTTTTCTCCAATCTCTCCACTCTGTAAGGGGCGCGGAGAGAAACAACAGGTCAGGCAGAGGAGAATGTATCAGAGGAGAATATTTGTAGTTCAGGGTTGAATTGAGGGGTCCTTGGTGCTCTCCGAGTTTGCTTGCTTTCTTGCAGACATTTCAACATCCAAACTAGGTAGCATCAATGGTGCAGAATGTATACTGACTATAATGGTGGTTGTGTGACAGGGACAACATGAAGGTTGTAAATGCAAGCATTAGTCATAAAATTATTTTCCACCACTGTTGTATTTTTAAATGCTCCCTGAAGGTGACAGTCACTAAATGAGGACTAAGGTAAAGATTCCCCTCACACATATGTGCTAGTCATTTCCGGCTCTAGGGGACGCTGCTCATCTCCATTACAAAGCCGAAGAGTCAGCGCTGTCCCAAGACGTCTCCGCGGTCATGTGGCCAGCATGACTAAACACCAAAGGCACACGGAAGGCTGATTACCTTCCTACTAAAGTGGTCCCTATTATTCTACTTGCATTTTTGATGTGCTTTCAAACTGCTAGCTTGGCAGAAGCTGGGACAAGTTATGGGAGTTCACTCCGTTATGCGGCGCTAGGGATTCGAACCACTAATTTGATTTGTTTTGATGGGAGTGCATAGCTTGAATAGCAAAATGGGCTGGTCAGTTTACAGTTCTCCAGTCCAGTTGACGTTTCTCTTGTATGAATGAAGCACACAAACAGCATGGTGCTTGGAGGGAGGGAAGGCAAGAATTCCCACTGCGGCCTTTTGCTGCGCTCATTTGCACATTCGGATTTGACCTTAATATATATGTATATGTATATGTATATGTATATGTATATGTATATGTATGTATGTATGTATGTATGTATGTATACGTATATGTATCTTATTATTCCTTATATACTAGACCTTATTATATATAGCATTTATATATATAAAGGTATATATGTTTTCTTAAGTTTTCGCGGGTACTTACATGTATGGTATTCAGCTTTGTTCAGGTATTTTCCCACGTCATTATAGTGGTGCTTTTAAAGTTGTAGTAACATTTCTGTATACAGAATACAGAAGCCTGATGATGGCAAATGAGATTCTGCCGAAACGTTGCTACAACTGTAAAAGCACAACTATAATGACGTGGGAAAATACCTGAACAAAGCTGAATACCATACATATAAATAGCCGTGAAAACTTAAGAATATGTATGTATGTATGTATGTCTAGGTGTGTTTGGGTCTTTTACCGTGTAAGACTAAGACTATCTTGGCGACATTTCAGCGAGGTCCCACTCGCCATCCTCAGGCTGGTGCTTTTGGCTTCGTGCTTGCACTGCTTGCACTGGCACGAAGCCGAAAGCACCAGCCTGAGGATGGCGAGTGGGACGTCGCTGAAACGTCGCCAAGATAGTCTTAATCTTACACAGGAAAAGAGCCAAACACACCTAGACCTATGTACCTGTACCTGTGAAAATCTATGAAAATATATATATATAAAATATATATATATATGGTACTCAGCTTTGTTCGGGTATTTTGCCTTGTCATTATAGTTGTGCTTTTAAAGTTGTAGCAACGTTTCGGCAGAATCTCATCTGCCATTATCAGGCTTCTGTATTCTGTGTGTGTGTGTGTGTGTGTGTGTGTGTGTGTGTGTGTGTATATATATATATATATATATACCTTTATTATGCTGAATTGTTATTCCTTTTGGATGTCAGCAGGAGACGCTGCAGCATAGCTTTTATACAAAAAAACCCACTCTCTAGATCCTGTGTAAGTCCCGCACCCAGTGACATCATCCCTGAGTTGCCTGCATTGATACTGCTGCCTCTCTTTTCAGCCAGAACAATTCCCATCACGCTGCATTCTGAGGATTTATCAAGGCAAGATTTTCAGCCTTCCTCTGGCCTGAATACACAGCACAAAAGGATGCAGTGCAAGACAGGAAAAATAAAGAACTCAACGTGCCAAATTTCTAACATTACAAAGTTTTCCTGGTGACCGTTTGCAAGGGGCCAAATTTGATGTCCCAAAGGTGCTTTTCCCCCCCCCCCCCCCAAAGAGGCAACTGGACTTTCTGGTTTTTCTTGGAAGATGTTTCACTTCTCATCCCAGAAGCTTCTTCAGCTCTGGTTGTACAAATGGTTTACAATAGGGGTATCCAAGCTTGGCAACTTTTAAGACTCGTAGACTTCGACTCCCAGAATTCCTCTCTTGCTGGCTGGGGAATTCCGGGAGTTGAAGTCCCCAAGTCTTAAAGTTGCCAAGCTTGGACACCCCCAAGTGTCCAATCAGCTGAAATAGTTCCTTAAAAGGAAAAAAAAATACTGTAAAGATAGGAGCGTGCAGAGCTTATATGGGTTTGTGGTGTACAGAGTACATTGGAAGGTACTGCTCTAAACCTGTTCTGCATGCAAAGAATTTTCACTGTCTGGTGTGATGATAGCCCAAGAGGTGGAAACCCAGTGTGATGGTTTGGTTTTGTCCCCAGGACCGGAGAACCAGATGAAGAGGAAGGAACTCTGCGCAGCTCCATCCGGCGTAAGAGCCAGCCTATGGCCACATCCACTGCCTGTTTCCCTTGTCTCCTGGGGGAGAACGTTTCCTGGGCCAGGGAACTTTTTAAAAATTATTGCTTTTTATATATTTATTTCAAAGGATTTCAAACTCTTACTTAAGCAAAGGGAACGAAAGAAAGAAACCTGACTTTGCTTTTAGAATGGAATGGAACGGAATAGAAAATGGAAAATGGAAAATAGACAAGAGACAAGAAAAAAGAGAAAAAAAAATAGAATAACAGAGTTGGAAGGGACCTTGGAGATCTTCTAGTCCAACCCCCTGCTTAGGCAGGAAGTTCTATACATTTCAGACAAATGGTTATTCAATTTCTTCTTAATATCATCATAGACCAGCATTAAGTTTGGTAATACGTAAGGAAATTTCTGATCTCTTAGACATCCTTTAAAAGACTGATTAATTTGTGCATTGGACAGTTTTCAAACTAGGAGTCCCTTTGGGGCAGCACAGAACTGGGCAGTGGAAATTAGGAATCTTCTACAGGATGGTGAAATGGTTGCCTATTTATATTTGCTGCATCTGGCATTCTGAGCCAAGATGGTTTTTAAAACTGTTTGGGTATATCATGCCACAGACACCGGAGGAAAGAGACACGTCTTAGCTTAAAGCGTGTTTGCTGAAGGAAAGAATAAATCGCTTCAGGGAAAGGCCTTTTAAAAACTCAGACCTTTTTTTTTTTTTGAATTCTCACTAGGTTTATCCACAAGGATGAGATAGAAGACATCATAACTGGTGAGTTGCTTGCAGATTAAATGAAGAATGACCCTTGTGATCAACTTCAGTTTGAGTCTCTTCACTCTTGTGGCTTTTACCATCAATTGCCATCTTCGTTGCTCTGTGCAAAATGCAACGTTTAGTTCCCTTTTCTCCCCCTTTTTCTTCTTCTGTAATATCTAAATGGTCTCAAGAACAGAGGATTTGTTCACGTAGACACTATATTGATTCTAAAAAGAGAGCTAGCTTGGTTTGTCATAAATAACTCATCTGTTTAAAAAAAGGGAGGGTATCTTGCTTTCTTGATGACATGACATTGGAGGCAGGCGAGACATGTCTTTCCCTTGTCTAAATTTCCTATTTTGGGGGTAGAAAAGAACGGCTTGTCTTAATTTTCAGGATTATCTTCTTTTGGACCTCTGTGGTAGGTATGCCATTTTATGACCTCAGCAATAATCCAGTGGAAATAAAGCATGCACTAGGGTTGAAGGTCCAAGCCCTTCAGCTCCCACGTTCCCACAATTGTGCCAAGGATTTAAACATGAAAAACCAGGATCTCACTGCAATTGTTTGATTGCAGCAACGATTCTCATTTTGGAAACTGGGCGAGGAATTGTACGAAAGGATCTGTGTGAGATGTGGAGAGCAGCGCCACCATCTGCCACAGGGGTGTCAAACTCACGTCATCACGTTGTTGTCACGTGACGTATCGCATCTTCTCCCCGCTTCACTAAAGTCGGGGTGGGGGTGGCCAGCGCATGACACATCCGGCCCGTGGGCTGCGAGTTTAACACCCCTGATCTACCAGGTGGAGAACTGGGTCTCTTAGGCTCCATCTGGAGTCACCTTTTTCAGCTGCACACTTTAAATTGTGTGCTTGCACATACGAACCTGTCCCAAATGACATCCTATTTGTTCCACGTGGCTCATGCTGCAGAGGTGGGTATTCAGCAGGTTCTGGCCAGTTCTGGAGAACCGGTAGCGGACATTTTGAGTAGTTTGGAGAACCGGCAAACACCACTTCTGACTGGCCCCGCCCCCATCTATTCTCCGCCTCCTGAGTCCCAGCTGATTGGCTGGGTCTTCTTTGGTTGCCCTGCACAGGAGAACGGAGCTGGAAAGCAGGTTAGTGGGGTGGGGAGGGAACGGGGATTTTGCAGTATCCTTCCCCAGCCAGGCCCACCAAACCATGCCAGGCCCACCAAGCCACACTCACAGAACCAGTAGTAAAAATTTTTTGAATCCCACCACTGTCATGCTGGGAGATGCAATAGAGGCCTCTGTCTAAGAGCCAGGCCAGTGGAGACTGGTAAAAATAAATAAAAGCAGGTGAAGGATGGATCGCAGCACTAAGCTGTGTGTCGTTCTGGGTCTGAATTCTAAGAAAGCCATAGTTGAAGCGATATCAGACTAGGAGTCTAAACGGAAAAAGACCGGCAGCTGAGCTTGTTTGATGTTTTGAATAAAATCTGGAAAACAAGAGACTTGAAGATAACTCCAACAGCAAGGTGGCACTCATAACCAGGATAAATTCATTATCTGGCTGGAACTGGGGTCACTTTGGGTCCTGAGCTTCTTCCTTTTTTTTTTTTAATTTGATCGTCAACTTTCTTCACTATACCTCACTTCTTTCCTTTTCTCCTCTTCTCCTAGGTAGCTGTATGGATATGGATCCTCCTGGATCTGGAGCGCTCCCCTCCTTCGTTCCGCCTGGCCTTTGTTCTCCCAGCAAGGCCCCACTGCTTGCCACAACTCCAGTGAATTCCAGAACTGCTTGCCTCTGGGGGTCATCCCCACCCAACTAACCGCCCCTTACCAAGACCTTCCCCTTCTGTTTTGTCTTGCTGCTTGAAGTCCACTGCTTCTCAGAGAGGCAGGGCAGCCTTCTAACCCTTGGCCTTCAGCCTCTAGTGACCATGAAGGATTCTAACTCCTGAGCTGAGCTCAAGCTGCTTTACAGCAGGGCCCTGTCTGAGCTCCCCGCCTTTAAAAAGCTCACCTTGGGCTTCTGGAAATAAAAAAATGTCCTTGAGTCCAGTTCTTCTCCAGGTGGCTGCATCCGTGCAGTTGTCTCTGGGCAGCTTTCGAGAAGTAGTTTGCTTGTTCAAGTTTTCGATCTAGTATTCCGTCCTTGGTTTCACAGATGGTCCCCTGTCCAGAACTAACCATGAGATCAATTTGGGGCTCCCACTAAGGCAATAGTTCTGAAAAACAAACAAACAAAGAGTTAAAGATCCTGATTTTTTTTTCCTTATCACCAAAGAAAAGCACGCATGAGATTTATCCAGCGTAAGGTGCTATTTCATTGGTGTTCTCTTATTATGAATAGTTGTGCTATTGAGATCGCACGGCCCGTCTGGATTGCAATCCTAGAAGGGGATGAGAAACTTTCCAAAACCAAGTTTTTTTCCTCTCTGTCTTTCCTTAAAATTGTGGATGGATGGGTGGATGGATGACGGGCCATTAAGTTAGTGTTGCCTCTTAGCCACCAGTTAGAAGTTCCTTCTCCAAGATGATCTATAATTATAAGATTGACCACCTAAATGTGCAAAGAAATGGAGGTAGATTGATAAGGTGTTCATTAGCACATTTTTTTAAAATTAGCCGTAGTTCTATTAGTTCTGAATCAGGATTTTAGGGTACACATTGGCTTTTAGAAGTAGAAAGGGAGATTTTGCCCACTGAGAATGAATGATTAAGAGTTTGGTGGTTATCTCCATTGCAAGTTGTCAGATATTTTTCTCATCAGTTTGTTCTGACAGTCCAACCTTTGGGCAAGGGGCTGGATATTATTCTAGTTTACCTGTATAGGTGTTGGGAGATGACAAGAAGTGGAGAGGCATGGAAAGAGCAAATGGGAAAGAAGACAAGGAGGACATCACAACCACCTTCCCAAGATACCTTCATTATTAATTCCCAGCCCAGCATGACCCAATGCATGCAACGAATGCCAGGACAAGAAGGGTTAGAGCATTGTTTCTAGATTTTGGCGAGTTTTAAGATGTGTGGACTTCGACTCCCAGAGTTCCCCAGCTAGTATGCTGGCTGAGGAATTCTGTGGGTTGAAGTCCATGTATCTTAAAATTACAGGAAGAGGGAAGCTAATTGGAAGTACAGCAACTTCAGTGTTGAACATTTCAGAAGCTATCAAGGCCTTCAGGAAATGGTGTGGTAGAAGACATATTAAAAGCCTGAAATAGATTTAATGTTCCCCTAGATCAGGGGTGTCAAAGTCTGTTTCACTGAGGTCTTGTTGACCTCAGGGGATGGGGGTGGGGGCAGGCGGGCATGACCGACTGGGTGGGCGTAGTTAACTGGGTAGGCGTGGCCAGCTTGACACCACTCACTGGGTGTGGCTGACTGAGTGGGTGTGGCCAGCTTGATGCCACTCACTGGGTGTGGCTGACTGGGTGTGGCCAGCTTGATGCCACACTCGGTGTGGCTGACTGAGTAGGTGTGGCCAACTGGGTGGGTGTGGCCAGCTTGATTGCCACTCCTCAAACTGCTGGCATGTTTCCTCTTTGCATTGGGTAGACCGGGCTGAAGCGATGTGGGCTGACCCCTTAACATTTTCCAGGACAACTCCGTGGGCCAAATCCAACCACAGGACAGACTGGATCTGGCCCACAGGCCTTGTGTTTGACAGCCCTGCCCTACGTCAACTTCTGAATGGGTAGTTAGCAAATGCGTGTGTGTGTGTGGAGAGGGAGGGAGGGGAGAGAGATCGAGATCGATCCATGTGTAGAATCTTTTGAAGCCAGGATTGTCTGCAGCCCACCCTCTCAGACAGTTAAGCTGCCTTTCCCCTTTGCCTTAGTGGCCCTACCACCTTCTGCAGATCCTTTCTTGTGGGATTGTGATCTCATCAACCGATTCACCCAGCTGAGGAGCTCTAGAGAGAGGAAGCTTTGCAATGTAAGAGGTTGAAAAAGCTTTTTTTTGTGGGTTGTTCTTTTATTTTAAGAAATCTGCTGAGGAAGGACAACTTCCCTCTGGTGTGTGTGTGTGTGTGTGTGTGTGTGTGTGTGTGTGTGTGTGTGTTCCCTTTTCCCCTGTGGCCAGTTGAGGACAAGGGTATTTCCCCACTGAGTGGCGATGAAAGGGCCACTTGTGCCCCCAGGGAAGAAAACTTCAAAGAGGAGAAGGGAGCTGTGGGGAAGAGACCGAGGGAGGAGAACGGTCTCTTGGAAGTGATGATAAATAATGCAGTCTTAATAGGCCGACAGTGATTTCACAGTCCCCCAAAGGGCCTGTGGTTTTTAATAGCTGGAACCAGCGTTGCAGTCAGAAATCTTCGTGTTCTTGTTTGGAGTTTCTTCTAGCATCCTCAAAGGTATCCCAGGTGTAATGCAGAAGGATAACGGCTTCGTCTTTTTAGAAGGAAGCAACGTTATGAACTGATGCAAAGGTCACCTTGAGAGGGTGCAAAGGATGTGAGCTTGGCTTTGGCGGGGGCGGGGGGGGGGGGGTCTCTCTTCCTGCCTTTTTGCAGCGCAGCTATGCATTGGGTCCTGCTGGCTAAGAGTTATCACATTTGGAAGGCTGACCAAACTGGAGCCCACACACTGCGGGGAGGCTGGTATATGCTGCTGCCCAGGTGTGCATCTGTGTGGTTGCAGGGTGGAGAACCTGATCTGGCCCCGCCTTGATTATGGCGCCCAGGCAGGTATTTGCTTCCGGTCTTCTGAAGCTGTGACACCTCCTCTGGCTTCCGTGGGCGGAGCTTCAGAGAAAGGGTGGAGCTTCAACAAGCCTCTAGCCCAGACATCATACCAAGGGCGCCTGTAATGGGAGCTTGTTTGCTTCCATCATCATGACAGAAGCAGCATTGCACCACTGGGCTACAAGTTGCACTCTTTTGGGACATGCTGGTGATGTCACAGTGGTTTTGCAAAAGGGGTGGGGCTTAGGTTATGCTGCTTTGATTCTCTTCTCCCCAGAGATGCTACTGTATCAGTGGTAGGATTCCATTTTTTTTTACTACCGGTTCTGTGGGCATGGCTTGTTGGGCGTGGCAGGGGAAGGATACTGAAAAATCCCCATTCCCTCCCCACCCCACTAACCTGCTTGGCAGCCAAAGGAGACCCACCTGATCAGCTGGGACTTGGGAGGCAGAGAAGAGATGTGGGCGGGGCCAGTCAGAGGTGGGATTTGCTGGTTTTCCGAACTACTCAAAATTTCTGCTACCGGTTCTCCAGAACTGGTCAGGACCTGCTGAATGCCACCTCTGTACTGTCCTACAAAGGCTTACCAAGCACATTGGGCTGCCTGAGTCAGGTGAGGAAATTGCATCTTGATTGCGACCCCAGTCTGAAAAAAAAAAAAAATTAGTAGAGCAATGCAGAGAAATCTGGCCAGTTTTTAAAAATCCCCTTCTCCGCTTGCAAACCACTCCAGTCAAGAAGGCAGCTAAATCAGTGAGGATAGCTCCAAGCCCAGGAGAGAGATTTCTGCCTGTGACGTGGACTCAAAATCTTTTACCTCTGCTTGTTTCTCTTCTAAATCCGGCTAGGTTTAATTTAACTGTGATGACAGTGGAGCGAAAGGTTGAATGACTCACTGGAATCCTTGGTGATATTAAGGCTTGGATTAGTGTTTCTCAACCTTGGCCGCTTGAAGATGCGCGGGCTTCAACTCCCAGAATTCCCTGGCTGGGGAATTCTGGGAGTTGAAATCCATACATCTTCATTCTTACAGCGGCCAAAAACACTCTTGGATATTATATGAAATTTTCCCAACTAACATTCACCTGCCAAAATCCAGTGGGCTTAAGACTGTATAACCACGTCAACCCAAGTCATGCTACTTCTATTAATATCCTCCATGCAAAAAAAGCTTTTCGTGAATGAATATGTTTGTACCTTTGATCCTTGGAGCAAGTGCTTTTTGTAAAATGAAAATGCTATGTAGCAGGCTGGCTGATTTTGATCTGGTATATGATTCCCCAATCATAGTGAGCCAACGAGGAATCTGGTTGGACATGGGCACCTCATTTCAACCCTCTTTCCTCTCTGGGAGTCGCCCCTGTTTTCTTTTGCTCATTAAAAGATCAGTGAAATTAACTGATGTAAAGGGAAGTATGTGTTGCTATGTTGCTGTTTAGCGCCTGCTTTCCTTCATGGTTTTCATCAATTTCTGCAGATCATTTAAATGTGAAATTTTGAATGGTACGGTGGCCTAGAGGTGGAACTCTCACCTTACAATCAGGAGGCTGTGAATTTGATTCTAGGTAGAGGCTGATATTTCTCTCTCTGAATATGTATATCTGCTGACTATAACTCCTCATTGGCAACAGGAAGGGCATCCAGCCAGTAAACACTCAGCTCCATTCAGTTGCCTAGATTCCATCCTGCAAAAGATTATGGGGTTGTTAAAAGAAGATGATTTAAATGTGAAATCTGGGCTTCTCCTTTGCATGGAAAAAAGGCCATGCTTAGGAGGAATCTTTTTAGATTTCACTACACTCCTGACCAATTAAAGGTGTTTCCTAATGTCTCTTTTTCCCACAGCGGCAGTGTTATGACTAAACCATTATCATTGTGGGCAGTTGCTACATAAAGAACAAATGCCTTGGAATTGAAAAGATCAACCAAAATGATCAAATGGAGTTAATCAAACAACATGGAATGTGTGCAACGCCATAATAAATAAGACTTTTTAATCAGAAAAGGCATCAGGGAACCATTGAAGAAGCAGAAGATATTAGAAAGGGCTTTTGTTTTTATGCAACCTGCTGTGTCATGCTTTTTAATTACCTTTTTCAATCAGTGAATTAATTTTCTTTAGTTCTGAATTATCCCTTAAAACAGGTGGGGAAAATAAGAGAGCACATTTGTGATATTCTTCATTATCTGTGGGTCTTTCCTTATGAGATGAAATGGAGAATGAAAAGGTATTTTATAGTTTGTGGAGCATATGGTGTTAAAATCCTCCGTTTGGGTAATATTTCTATTTTCATTTTTAAAAGAGCATATCATGTTTCACTTGTTAACTCCACCCCAAAGCTGGTTTCAGAAAAATAACCTCAAGCACATTAATCATAGAGTAAATACTATAGCCTCCATGTAAAGCTACCCAACAGCAGAATGAAAAGCGGCTAGAGTCTCTGGCAATTCAAATTGTCAAAGAAATTGGGGAAATATTTTTAACAGAATATGAAATGTTCCCCAAAGAGAGTTCTTCCAACAAATACCTTAGTATACCAGA